ACTTCTCAGCTGACAGCTCAAAAGCCCCACCGCAGTGCTGACTGCCATACAGCCATGTCCTCACCCTGCTGGACCCCACTCTCTGCGCACCCAGATCCGAGCTCTTGAACGATCCAATTAGTGTGCAGCCGAAAAGGCCCAGCAGTGGTCATGCTGCAGACAAGTTACTGTTATCAGATCCCACCCGCCTCCTCTGGACCCCTCAGCACCCCTGCTCTTTCTTCTGCAGCCAGCCCCTAATCCTCCCGCAGCCAGCGGCAACCCCACTTCCAGGTCCTACCCAAGAGAAATGAAAACACACGGCCACACGAAAACTTGTACACACGTCGCACAGACACATAAAGCACAACAGCCAAAAGGTGGAGCCGCCAAATGCCCACCAGCAGACACACTGAGGCACAAACTGTAGTAGCCACACGCTGAAGGCGCCTCACCAGAGGAAGGAAGCAGTGAGGGAGCTGTGTCACGGGTGGGCGTGGATGTCAGTATCAGTGAACAAGCCAAGGAAAGACCACGTAGTGTGGTCCACCTGCACAAAGGGTCCAGGACAGCAAGTCCAGAGAGAACATAACTTACAGTCCCCAGGGTGGGATTGGGTACAGTTGCTTTTCGGGATCACGGAAATGTCCTAAGAGCAGCGCACTGACAGTCACACCTGCCTGTGGACACAGTGACACCATGAAGTACATCCATGCCAGTGGACTGAGCAGTTGGGGGCCTACATCTCTATTATGCCGCTGGCTGCTTAAGGAAAGCTTTGTCCCTACCTAAGCCACCCACTGCATGCCACCCACTGCACATGTCCGCTGCACTGAGGCCAAAATCCAAACCCTGCCCCTGGCCCCTCACCCCTACTGACCACCGCCTACCTCCTCTAGAAAGCCTCACCACAGTCCTCCGCCTGCCTGGGCTGCTGGCCTTTCAAGGGTCCACTCAAATGTCACCTCCCTGGCAACCCAGACCACCCCACACCACATGGCAGGGCCAACTTCCTTCCCGGCACCCCCACCGTCCAGAAGTCTTCCTCATTTCCTTCCTCAGGGGCTGGTCTGCCCACACAAGGTCCCTGCAGGCCGCCAGGCTGGAGCTCACAACCTGCTGACTCAACAGAGACCACCTGGGCCCCCGATCCCTCTTCAGCCCAGCTGGTGCCGCCAACAGCCAGACCCTCCCCCGAGTAGTCCCACAGGGTTGCTGACAAAAACCCTCCACCCTCCTGGCCAGCCCCTCTCTCCTTCCCCTTTCTGTGAGCAGCTTCCCCTCAGTCCAGGCCTGACCCATCCTGCCCTAGCTCCACCTTTTGCGGGCCCTCACCTGTGGTCTCTGCCACTCCATGGGGATCTCACGTACTCCATTTCAGAGAGGAGCCCTCTTTGGAACTTTTTCTGTTTCTCCCAGGATAGCTGGTCTGCTTAGATCCCCCACCCCGACTAGAGTCAGCTGATAGCAGTGTCTCCCTAGGCCGTGCCCTGCGTCTCACTCAGCTCCCCATGTGTTTAGACAGAGCTGTGCCCAGAAGTCCCTTGGGGCCGCAGCCGTTCCCCCCACACACACACCAGGACCACTGCAGCAGCTCCCCACCTAGTCTCCCAGGACCCCCTCTCACTTCCAGTCACCCTCCCCACATCCTCAGATCAGCACCCCTACTCCCATCTTCTAGCCTCCTCAGCCCAGAAAACAAGCAAAGCCAGGGTAGACATGTGTGGCCCCAGTCACCACTCCCCACCTTCTCCACAAGAGAAAAGTTTCTAGAATTCCTAGCACCCTGACCTACTGTTGAGGCGCTGGCCCCCCTGGGAGTGGCGGGAGCAAAACAGCCACCACCCCTCCACCCCCGACCTGGGCCACAGGCCACCATTATGTTCCCAGCCCTTCTAATGCCTGTGGATGCTCCTGATTCTTAAATGTTGGTAATTGTTTAAATCAGGGGCCCCCAACCCCTGTGCTGCTGATCAGTACCTGTCTATGGCCTGTTAGGAACAGGGCTGCACAGCAGGAGGTGAGCGGCAGGTAAGCGAGTGAAACTTCATCTGTATTTGTAGTCGATCTCCAGCGCTAGCATCACTGCCTCAGCTCTTCATCAGATCATCAGGCATTAGATTCTCACGGGAGCACCAGTCCCTGGTGCCAAAAAGGTTGGGGACCGCTGATTTAAACAAACAAAAATGTTCTTTGGGCCAAAAAAATAAAAAAGATCGAGCTCACAGGCCTCCTTACAGCTGTCGCCCCTCAATCGGGCTGATGGGCCGGACCCCTCATTCTCTGGGTGGGTGTGAGTCTCCCGCCCTGGCTTTTCTTGCAGACACTTCCTGCCACCTCACCCATCTCCTCCCTGCAGACCAGGGAAAAGAGCACCTCCGCCAGGAAGCCTTCTAGACTTCTCCCTCCCTCAATTCAACTGTCCTCTCAAGTAGCAGAATGCATTTGTCAAGCACAGTTACATCAAAGATCCCAGACACAGGGCACTGTGGGCACAGAGTCTTGACCCAAACACCACCCGGGGACGAAGGGCCACCTCTCCCATGAACTCCACCAGCCACATTACCTTGGGCAAGGCACTTCCCCTCCTCCTCCCCGGTGTCAAGATCAGTGAGACAGTGCATGTGAGGTGCTCTACGAGGAACCAGGTACCCAGTAAGTTGCTTGTGCCATTAGGACACTGACCAGGACTGTTAGAGCCTGATGCTGGGCCTCAGGCCAGCTCATTAGCCAACCCAACGTCACACAGCCAGAGCAGCAAGACCAGGACAAACTGGGTTGGCCAGACTCCAAGGTGGCCTTTCTCCTCTCACTCCTGCACACTGGCACTTGCTCCCTATAGCCACCATTATTACAGGTGAGTCCTACAACCTGGTGAGGCCCCCCATCCCTACCCAAGCTCCAAGAGGACAGGGACTTGCCCCCAGCAGAGACACCCCACACAGCTGCCCCAAGAACCTATGATGCTTGGACTGACCTGCCCCTGGCCTGGGCGTGAACGCCAGGACCACACCTGACACTTCTCTGGGTCCCCTGCATCACCCACTACAAGGCCACAGGGGAGAAGACAGTGCTCTGTGAACCCACAGGCTGGGCAGACAGAACCAGGAAGCCCCAAGGCTCTGTGTTCCTACAATAGCCCCAACTCCCCCTCCTGCCACCCGCGTCCCAGCCACCTGTGAAAATCACACCTGAAATGAAAGGCTGGGTCTCAGAGTCCCCAGAGCCAGCCAGCAGCCCTGTGCCCCATCAGATGAGCCCAGGGACCCCAGCCCAATGACTGATGCCTAAGAGGCCTAAGAACAGCCTCTGTCTTCCCAGACCCCAGCCTTGGCCAAGAGAAACAAGTCACCAGAGACGGCAGCATTAAGGTAAATGTCCAAATTCTAGAATCACATGCCAAACCCTTGCTTAGACACTGCTGTGGGATCTGGGGCTCATTCCCATCTCCCTAAAATGGAAGTGCCACCTCCACCCCAGGGCGTCCAGGGCTTAGGAGAGTGAGTGCAAGGGCACAGGGCAAGCACCTGCCGAGTACTCAGCACATGTAGTTACATCTGCAGTGAGCCTCCACCAGGAGGTTAGGGCCACAGCTGACCTCTGGAGGCCTCAGGCAAAACTGAGAAGGAACAAGCCAAATTAGGGGCTGTGAGATGCATCTGAGCACAGGTATCCTGAAAGCTGAGTGCTCAGCAGTGACAACCAATGATCCCAGGCAGCCAAGCAGTCGCTAGAGGCCATAGCCAGACCTTTGCCATTGCCTGCCCAGAGCTCGCCACTGTCCTCCCTGGAGTCCAGAGTCCTCTTGGCCAATTCCTCTCTGTCCTTTGAGACTCAGGACATGCCACTACACCCAGACATCCTTCCATGACCTATAGCTCTTACAACTCTTGGGGGCTATCCTGCAACCCCATCCCCTCACCCTCTGCCTGGTGCTTCTGTGTGTGTTTCTCCCCACAGGCCTGTGAATTGCTCCAGGAAAGGAAATGCCACCCAGCATCACCCAATCTGTATCTGGCCCAGGGAAATCTCAAGAAATGTGTGCCAACTGACCCTCCTCTCCTACCCCACAGCAGGGAACTGTATCCATGTGCCCAGCACTGGACAAGGCTGATTCAGTGAGTGGTGGACTGCACTCTTCACCTGAGGGGACAAAGAGGACACCGAGCATGGGAAAGGGGAGCTAACAGGTCCAAGGTCATGGTGCTAGAGGAGAGAGACTGAGGGAGGCCTAGGAACACCTGTCTCCTGAGCCCTTTCCACACACTGTACACATCCCTTCCTGGTTCTGAAAGGAAAGCACCACAAGCCTTCCTACCAAGCTCAACACTGGCATCTCACTCATTTTACCCAGTGGAATCCAAAGTTAAAGCCACTATCTAAAGTCACAACAGTATGAGCGGTGGAGCTGAGGTTCGAATCCAGATCTGGGTAATCCCAGAGCTCTCAGCTAACAGGCAGTAGTGCCATTTGTGGGCCAGGCACTGTCATTCTTCAGCTCCACAAGGGTGGGGGTGAGGGTTAGGCCTGGAAGGCTTCCAGAAGGAAAAGGGCAAAGACATGAGCTAACACAAGGAGGAACCTGATCTGAATGTTCTCTGGGGCTGAGGGCCGAGGGGCCGCAGTAGTGGCAGCAGGCAAGCGCCAGCTGCATTTAGCAAAGAGGCTTACAGTCTTAGGGAGGACGTAAGCCAGGATCAACAGCAACTGTGCTTCCGCGAGCCAGGACAGACCTGCCTCCCAGCTGGATCCTCTGCAGTTGCCCAACTAGGGACCTGGCACCAGGAAACAGGAAAACACCGGCCAAGTCACTCCCTCCCTAACTCTGACTGTCCTCTGGACTGGCCAGATGGGCGCCCTCCCTGAGCTCTCACAGCCCCTGGCCCTCTCCATGCCGGTCCTGGTCCCGGCGGAAGCCGTTTCCGAGTGCGCGTCTATGCTACTGCTCCAGACCCCCATCTTTGGTGCCCAGTACTGGGAGAGCCTAGTCCACACTCGCTGCCTGCTCTGGCGCCTGTGGGTCACCTTTCTGTCTATCACGCCATCCTGAGCATGCAGGACCTCACGGGTCCGAAGGGCACTCATCTCCACGAACTGGGATGTTCCCCTTTGTCGCAGGGAGTGAAGGGGGTGGGGTACAAGGGCGCGGTTTGGCGCCTGGGAGGCCTCGGGGGTAGCCAGCGGGCCCGGTCCCCGTTTTCGTCCTGAACCGTGGGGCACCCGAGGCCTGACCTTGGCCCAGTTGCTTTCCCCTGGGCGCACGCGTTTCCTGCCCCTGTCCGCCCGGGCGAATGAATGAGCCTCTGCCGCTGGAATGCCGGTAATTACCGCCTGGATCAAAGAGCGCACGCGGCCCGCCCGGGGCAGCAACGGGCCCGCTGTTTTGTAAAGGGGAGGGAGTGAGGGGCAGGCCCGGCCTTGGACAGGCCCCCCGGGGCCGCCGCTTCCGGTCAGGCGGACTCGGCCCGAGTGGTCCCTTCCCCCACCGGAGCCTCAACTTCCCCCAGGAGTTGCC